GCAGAACTTTAAATCATACTACGTATTCCTAAAATTTCACCTTCTGTGTTTCCAAAGCTCATGCACTATAAGAATAAGAACTTATTTTCTGTTATATACGTACTATTGTCAGAGTTGCCAAAAAGACCTTATTTTAGCAGCGACAAATGAAATTTCTTATTGAGAATGGTCTGATACTTTAATTAAGTGATAATTTTAAACACACACAACTAGCTAGCAATTTAACTATTTTATTAGAGCCTTTTTCTATTTTTTCTTAAAAGGTTGACAATGATTTTATAAATGTTTATTAAATGTCTGTCTGTGCTTAGAACAGCTTATTACTATAAATAAATATATATATATGCTGTAATTTGCACATCTTCCAATTTCACATACATTCTAAAATCATGTCAAAATGTCAAATGGAGAATACAAGATATTTGGAACAAAAGGCATGACACATGTGAATGGACAAACTAATATCACCAGCCTTTTAGTTCTTGATCAGAACTGATGAGGGTTATTAATGGATGTTTTTCCTTAGACCAATATTTTCTAGGTAGACATAAACACTTCTCTCTCCCTCTTGTTTACACACACACACACACAGTTCAGCACCGAGAAAAGAATTAGGACAAAGTGTGAAAGAAAAATGAAATATGACCAGTTGTTCTTTAACAGAAACTCTGTTTCCTAGAGCCTTGGCAAGGTCAGAGTCACCTTGGAATCACCATGACCACTGATGTGAACTGGCTGTCCTTAAAAAAGTGCTTCTTACTTAGCAGTTACATTAGAGAGACGGGGGAAAGGTGTAAAACAAAAGATTGAAAAGGGCCTTCAGTTATTGTTGAAAGGACTCACAAAAGTGGGTTTTATTTTCTTAGGTTCTTTGATAAATTAGTAAACTTGACAAACATAATCTGGAACTCTTTCCCCAAGTTAAAGAAAGAAATATTTAGGAGTTTAACTATGTAGTAGCTCCCTTTTTGAACCCAGAATTCCCAGGCTAAAGATTAGTGAGTTAAACCACATAGTCCCATGCCTTCCTGCCGTAAAGTTAATAATTATACCCAATTTAATGTCTAGAAACCCATGCCCAGCCAAAAGCCTTTAAGTGGCACAACCCATAGTATGTTTCATTGGAGATGATGCCTAACGATAAAACTGGAATATGAAATTTTAATGTTATTCAAAATCTCAAAGACAGTCACTGGAGTAACTGACCAGAAGTACAACCTATGTTCCCTCAAACTTTTCAATTAAGGCAACATTCTGAGGTTTCCAAAATTTTCTTCCTTTCTCTCCTCCTCTCCAAGGTACTCCTGTAGTATACTGTACTCCACTAAGAAGAAATAAAGTCTATCCAAATTCTCCATAAGTGAAAGTCTAAAATGAGAGAGGTGTATTCAAGAGGATTCAATATGGTGCTTACTCAACAAGGAAACTTCTACTCCTTTGGAAAACATTCATTGGTATCTTCAGATTGTAATGTGAAGATTTCTTTTTATGACAGCATTTCTCCAAACTATAGATAACAACTTAATCCCGGATGGATCACTCAGAAGATGAAACTTACCCCTTGAAATAACTCTAAACTCTCCAATTCTATGTATTCATGTTCTAAACCTACTTCAGAGTTAATTCTGTGAATCCCTCCCTGTGACTGGGAATAAGATGTGTTATCTGACTCAAGAAAATAGTGGTCATCAACAGTATTTAACCAAGGGCGCACTTTTTTCAGCAGACACAAATGATGGCAGGAAATCACCACCTTAGATTAAGAAAATAGATCCATACTTTTTGTGAAAGGCCAGTGTCTGTCAAGTTTGTTCTCAGATTTTGAACATAGATCAACCTCTAGCTTATAAACTTGTTGAATTCTTAAAGTTTGATGGTAAATCGCTTGTGGAAAAGAGAGAGAGATTGCTGCCCAGTAAGAATTACACACACACACAAGTGAGTTTCTCCAGGCAGCCCACTAAAGCCTTTTTGACCTTTGCTCCTCCGAAAATGGCAGTAATAATGCTGTTGAGCCAACAGTTAAAGTGATATCTCTATGGGAAAAGGCATTCAGAGTTCCCTTTTGGGATTCCAGGAACCCAAAACTCTCCCTTTCTAGCAATGAAAGTAGGGGTTCCCTTGCCCAAAACAGGCTTCACATGTGGTTATGGTGTGAACTTTGGGGAGGGCGTCTCTGTGTTGAAGATCAAGACTAGAAATGCAAAGTGAAGGCAGTGGACACACTGCTGCCTAGACTGGGAAGAAAGGCCGGGAGCGGATGCAAGTGGGAGAGCAGGGCTTGGGGGGCGAGAAAGCGCTGAGCAGCATGGTCCAGCAGTTTCCCACCACCTCTTCCCACATCCTTTGCATCGCTTAGTGTCTTCTACTTCTTTTTTTTAATCCCCTTTGGAAGGCTTTGTGGGGAAGGGCTGAGAAGAAATGAAAGGCTACAGCAGGGTCTGTGCAGTTAGAGGAAATGAGAAGGAGCAAGAGTCACCAGAAAGAAGTAGAATGAGGAGAGATGCCGCCTTCTAGCTGGAGACGAGGGGTGGGTTTATCACAGGTCAGATGTGCCTTCACAAATCAGAACCTTGTCTGTGTGGCTCGTGCACAGGCCCAAAGCAAAGAGAAATCAATAGTTACTGCTCCAAAGTGGGAGAACAATTGGCAAATTAAATTAACTAGAGTCCTTCTGCATGTTTCTTTGTTTGAAGATAATTTTTTAAGGATATTTCAAAAGTGCATTGCACACTTGTTGCACTTTGCCAGACTCAATGTCTTCATCCAGGACACTGGAATCCAGAGTGAATATCTGCTTACATTTTTCAGGAATTCACACACCTCAAAGTCGGCCACAGAAATTCAGCTTCAGTCATCAATTTCAAGCAAGGTAGCTTACCTCAAGTAGTTGCAAATCCTTCAAACAAAATTATACCCAGAACTAATTCACTAATGTCCTTTTTTTTACTACTTGCTACAGATATTAATTGGAGGTCATTCTTCACCTGCAATATAAGCACCACCTGAAAAATTTCTGTTTTTGTCTACTTTTTATAAATCTTATCACTTTCATGAATCATTAACTTGACACATATTGCAAATCAAACATACAAATAAGAATATTAATTAGTTTAAGCAATGTCTGAGATTAGCACCTCTTCCCAGAAATTATTTGAATAATGAAGTTAACCTCATATTATTCAAAACACTGCAAAATTAAAAGGTTTTCCTCCGTAATCTTTTTTTCTAGAGAGTCCTGTTTGGTCCTGTTGGGCATAAACATGATATGGGTGGAGTCTCCCTGAAGCTCTGCACTGCAAATGAGAAAAAATTCCTTCTTCTGTTAGCCATTTCTTCCCAGGCAGAACATACCCCATTGGAAGCACTTGATTATATGGAGTCAAAATGGTAGAAGGGCTGGTGAACAGAATCCCAATCTGGGTTTAACTAGAATTTTCCCTGTCTCACTGGACATTTAAGGTTGTTGCCTTAACTTTGTTTTTCTATTCTTTTTCTATTTTCTATTTTTCCTTTTTTTTCTTTTTTTTTTAATCCATAAACTACAGAGTACATCCTATAACATATCCATTAGGGATTTCTCCACTAGGGATTCAGATGCTGTGTGGAACTGAAGTGTTCTGAGTATCTATTTCACAAGATTCGTTTCCAATCTTCTGCTGCTGACCAGGCTCAAGTGAACTTTAATGCAAGTTAAAATGGTGGCGTTTTCCTCCTATCACAGAAAGTCTTAACAGGCTCCTTTGAAAGCCTCAGGGCCAGTCAGGGTGATCCTGGCTATTTCAGACATGGGGCCATCAGAAGCAAGTAAGGACAGGGGATGTAGTTTTGACACAGATTGGTAGAACAGTGCTCAGAATCTCTTCCCACTTGACAGGGAAAATTCCTATGGATTTCAATCAGAGAACATGTAGCTAGAAAATGGGAAAATAAGAGCCAAAAAATGGGCAGAAGATCTAAATAGACATTTCTCCAAAGAAGACATACAGATAGCCAACAGGCACATGAAAAGATGCTCAGTATCACTAATTATTAGAGAGATGCAAATCAAAACTACAAGGAGGTATCACCTCACACCAGTCAGAATGGCCATTATTAAAAAGTCTGCAAATAATAAATGCTGGAGAAGATGTGGAGAAGAAAGAATCTTCCTAACACTGTTGGTGGGAATGTAAATTGGTGCAGCCATTATGGAGGACAGTATGGAGGATCCTTAAAAAACTTAAAATAGAGTTATAATAAGATCCAACAATGCTACTGGGCATGTATCTGAGAAAACCATAATTCAAAACAACACATGCACCCAAATGTTCACAGCAGCACTACTTACAATAGCCAAGACATGGAAACAACCTAAATATCTATTGGCAGATGAATGGAAAAAGAGAATGTGAGATACACACAGACACATACACATACACTGGACTATTACTCAGCCATAAAAAAGAATGAAATAATGCCATTTGCAGTAACATGGATGGACCTAGAGATTATCATATCAAGTGAAGTAAGTCAGACAGAGAAAGATAAATATCACATGACATCACTTACATGTGCAATCTAAAAAAAATGATACAAGTGAACTTATTTACAAACCAGAAATATACTCACAGGCATAGAAAACGAACTAAGGTTACCAAAGGGGAAAGGGGAAGGGATATGTATGTGTGTGTGTGTGTGTGTGTGTGTGTGTGTGTTTATGTGTAACTGAATCACTTTGCTATACACCTGAAACTAACGTAACATTGTAAATCAACTATACATCATAAAAATAATTCTTTTAAAAAAGAGCATATTGTGTCTAGACCTATACATATGGGGACACCTACTCAGTCTGTTTCTGATAATGATCCAAATAAAGGGTTATCTTTGCCTTAAAACATCTAACATCCTATTTATATACATTAGATAATTTATCTCTTATGATTAGAATGCCGTTCAAATCTCTAAGACACACCATAAGAAACACAAAATGGCACTGTTACTGTTATTTGCATTACCTCTGTATTCATAACTTCCATTGGTCTTTTCTTGATTTCTCCTATGTCCAAGTAACTGGGGGGAAAAAAAGAATAAGGGTTTCTTTTATTACTTGTGAGTCAGGTGCGTAAATTTCTTTTTAAAAATTATTAAAAAGTAAAGCAAGCCATAGGAAATCCTTAAGCCTAAAGCAAAAATAAATAGCTATGAATTAAAAGCAATTATAGTAATAGAAACTGCTTTCAGACACATGTCTACTTGAAACTTAATGAAATTAGTCTTAGAAATACATCCTTCTACTGGGGAACACTTTTCCCCACAATGGTTAGCTGCTTACTACATATTTGTTATTTCTCATTTTTAGATCAATGTTGATATAAAGAGTGGTTTCTGTGTAAAGCTGCTTAACAGTTCCATTAATCACAGACTTTAGGCCAAAGAAACTAGAACTGATTGTGTGCATTAGAGTAACAACTGTGAAAGTCTGGGAGCTCTTTTTCCCTATGAGAGCATCTTAATGATCCAGAAACGCTTAGCCATGTGGGATGGTTTAGGCATTGGTTCAGCTGAGGGACAGATGGGTGAACCAGTTAACCTCCGGAGACCCCTATTATTCCATTACTATTTGCTACAAGATATTAACTAGTGATCATTCTTTAGCTATAGCAGAAGCACAACCTAAAAACTTTATCCCTTTGTCAACTTCAAGCCATGTGTCCATCACTGTGATCTGGTTCCACTGTGTTTCATACATGGAAGGTGCTAAATAAATGTTTTAATATTAAAAATAAGTATAAATCTAGCACTTAATTTATAACCATAGATAGAAAGATACATTCTCTACCTCAACTACCATCACTACTGAGCTGCCAAAAAAATATTTGTATTAGAATTAATTTTGGCTATATTTTACTATTGTTGTTTTTTGGATAGAACGCTTTAGTTAATCGATACCTCTATAAATTATCATGTATTTTCCTTACATCAAAAGTATTTACATAAGACAGTGCAAATGCTCCCTCTGCTTATTAATAAAATTGGTCTTCGAGAAATCTGCAGAGACTGATTTCTGACATAATAACAAAACATTCTGACTGTCATGTGCGTGAAGGTGATCTCAAATCCACAAGATTAATGTAGTAGAGTTAACTTCCAAAATGCGTAACTGTGAGGAAAATAACAATCTCTAGAATTCTCTGCTATAAAAAAGGTTTGATAGCTACCTGAAGTTTAATTATGGTTTCAAAAATATCAGAAAAAATATGAGTAAAAGAAATTCAAGAAGAGTGTTGATCATTATCATCTGAAAAATATTTTTCCACCTCAATATCCTTTAGGGTCTACGCGACATAAATTACCCTCAATTATCTTTGGGGCTTTCTTTTGTTCTGCAAGTTGCTTCATTTGTTATATAAACTTATAACTGTTAAGCTTCAAATATATTCAGCATTTAAATCTTCTTGGCTTCCATCATTATAACCATAGATACTACCAGATAAATAAACTATCCAACTGTCAGCATGTAAAACTAACCATGGACACTGTTATAACAAACTCAGGGTTTTTTTGTGTGAGTTAAAAGCAAAAATAACCATGCAAATCTCCTATATATATATATATATATAAAGAGTGATTTGAAGTGCACTTTCTATTTGGTTTGGAACTGTACCTGTTTTTACCTTTTGAGTGCCAAATAAACAAAAGAAAATATGAATTACTAAAGTTAAGTCTGCAATTTTGAGTTATTAGTAGATTCTGAAGCAGATTTCCATTCCCATGAAATTTCTTTATATGGAAATTATTTCATTAAAAATCAATGATGTGTATGATGAAAGGAACGGGACACAGAGATGCTTTACATTCATATGACACTAGTGTATGCAAAATACGTTCACATCCATAGCATTTACTTTCTACAACAATGCTGGGAGGTAGGAATGGTTATATTCCTTTTCTGCGTTAGGAAACTGACTAGCTGTGTCAAGAGGCTTGCACAAGAATACAGAGCTAATAAATAGGTCAGTCTCAAGTCTCCTGATTCTCAGTTTTAAGCTCTAAGTTTCTTTGAAGCACAGTTTCATTTAGCTCCTTTCTAAAGAAAGTAGACAACGCATACTAAAGAAGGTTTCAGGGAAGAGGAAACAAAATCCAAATGTAGCCTCATCTCCCATAAAAAGACCATCTGGCATAACAAAAAGCAGAACACCTAGAACTCAGTTTAAACAAACCCATAAGGAAGGATATCAGATAACTTTAGTGATGCTTGGGAAACTAGTCCTCTACAGTTAAAAATCAGGATTCACAAGCATAGATTTCCTGGTAAAGATATTTTTTGCCATCCTGAGACTCAAGCTGAATTTTAATTAAATAATTAAAATATTATATTAAAAACTATGGGGGAAAGAAACCTACAGAATATAGAGTTTCCATACAATCCAGCAATTCCACTGCTAAGTATATACCCAAGAGAAATGAAAACTTGTACATGATCGTTCACAGCAGCATTACTCATAATAGCCAAAAGTGAAACAATACAACTATCCATCAACTGATTAATAGATAAACAAAAAATGTGGTATAGCCATATCATGGAATATTATTCAACAATGAAAAGAATGAAGTACTGATACATCCTACAACACGAAGAGCCCTGATAACGTTATGCTAAGTGAAAGAAGACAGAAACACAAAAGGTCACATATTGCATGATTCCTTTCGTAGGCATACCTTATTTTATTGCACTTAACAGCTATTTCATTTTTTTACAAATTGAATCAGGTTTGTAGCAACCCTGCATGGAGCAAGTCTATCAGCACCATTTTTCCAACTGTATTTGCTCACTTCATGTCTCTGTGTAATTGGTAATTCTCACAATATTTCAAACTTGCTCATTATTATTATATTTGCTATGGTGATCAGTAATCCATGATCCTTGATGTGACTGCTATGACTTGCTGAGGCCTCAGATGATGGTTAGCATTTTTTAGCAATAAAGTACTTTTTAAATAAGGCATGTACTTTTTTTAGACATAATGCTGTTCCACATGTAACAGACCACGGTATAGTGTAAATATAACTTTAATGTGCACTGGGAAGCCAAAGAACACCTGTGACTCACTTTACTGCAATATTTGCTTTATTGAAGTGGCCTGGAACAGACCAGCAATATCTCAAAGGTATGCCTGTATATAAAATGTCCAGAATAGACAAACCCATAGAGGATAGAGAGAAGGGGAAACTGGGGAGGTACAGGGTTTCTTTTTGGAGTGATGGGAATGTTCTAACATTCATGGTGATGGTTGCAAAACTCTATGAATATACTAAAAACCACTAAAATGGGTGGTTTATATTATGTGAAATCTATTTCAGTAAGGTTGTAAAAAAAAAACCTATGTAATATTTAATTATTCCTGTCCTACAATACCCATCCCCACCAGGAATAATTTCTCTCAATTCCCATATAACTTTATTTTCTTAATTGCACTCTTTTTTTGTACTTTGCATTAAAATGACTGGTGTGCATGTATTCTCTCTCCTGTTAGATCATGAACTGGGAAAGACAAGGAGTCATGTCTTATATTTGTTCCCTTCACAGATCTAAGCACAATCTGCTAATTCACTGAACACGGACAGTGAGCTCCGTGCCAAGAACTGGGGATAAGCACCACTAAGGACCCCTGTCCTTGAAGGTTTAACTATCGAGTTCCTGGGGACAGACATGTAGACAAATACAGCACACCAAGGAACTTTCCCAAGAATTATGCCAATAGCTTAAACGGGCAGGGTGGGAGGAGGATCACAGAGTGGGGCGTGGTCGCTTCTACTTAGAATAAAAGGTTGAAAGAATTGAACAGTGGGGTGAAAATGCAGAAAGCATTTTTTTCGGCTGCTGACAATATAGTATCCAATACTTCCAAGCAATTTTTAAGAAGTCTTTATTTAATCTAAAAAATAGGTTCCAAGAAAAAAGAAAAAGTGGAAAGAGAAAAAGGAGAACAGAAAATGCCAAATATCTAACGTGAGGCGTGTGTTACTCTTTCCAAATAGCTAGTCACTGAATAGTTTTTTTTTCTTAAAGATTCCTGTTCCTTATCCATACATTTTAAGTCTGTTCCTACTGCTCCCTAAGTGAAATTCTGTCTCCAATCACACTTTTAAACTCTAACCCCAACTGCAGGGGGGGCTTTCAGTGGCCAGCCCCTGAACACATCGAAGTGTGGGGTGAGGCGGGGGTTATTCCTTTCCACCTCTGTGGCCCCGGAAATGGGGGGACGGTGGGGACAGACTCACTTGAGTTTCTTGAAGGCTTCCTGGCCCCCAGCCACGTAGTTGCCCCCACTCTGAATCTGGTCTAGCTTCCGGATACGGTGCCCGGTCCGCGGGGTGTAGATGTTCCTGACGGCCCCAAAGGGCGCCTGAACGCCGCCGGTCACCTCCTTGAGGAAGACGTCGAAGCTGGACACCCTCTTCTCATGGATGACGACGCGGCGCCCCGCGAAGAAGGGGTCCCCGTTGCGGTACACCAGCACGCTCTTCACGACCGGCTGAGACAGGTGGCTCGACCTGGCGCTGGTGCTGCTCATCTTCCCCACGGGACGCCGTCCAGGCTCGCTCCGCAGCGGGGAGGCACCTCGGGTGCCCTAGCGGCCTCACGGCACGGGCTGCGCGGGGTCGCGCCCTGAAACGAATCGGAAACAGACAAGCCCACGGGTAAAACGAAGAAACCGCCGTGCGCCTGGCGTCCACCCTGCGGAGACCCTGTCGGCAGCAGGACTCGCTGTACACGTTCAAGTATTTCACCAAAGTCTGCACAACCAATCAGCGCTCGCAGTGCGCGCAGGACACCTGTTTCACACGCTTCCCGCGGAATCCAGGTGTAACCACCTCCGGACTGGAGCCATGCGGGGGGCTTGAAACAGGCTAAAGGAATGCGCGCGGGAGGGAGGGGTGGGAACACACACACACACACACACACACACACACACACACACTATAAAATTTTAAATATGGTGAAACTCAATTTCTAACATCATATTCGCGTTACTTTTCCAAATAGCTTAATTTTCTTTCCTCTCCTGACTCTCACCTCTCAATCTGTTTCCAAAATGAAGCAATTAGGATTCTGGCTGGAATTGCCCTGATTTTTCTTTGCCGAGAAATAACTGTTTAAGGTACATTGAGAGAGAGGAGTCGTGCGTTCAAGCCCCCTCGCCCCCTCCCCCAGATGACCTGCGCAGCCTCGCACTGAAGCTCCCGTGGGCACCGTTTGAACACCGCGGGCAAGGGCGCTCAATCGAGTCCCAGGGCGGCAGGCAGCGGCTGAGGACTCGCGGCGCGTGTACCTACCAACACCCGAGGGCCAGTGGCGGGAGGGGCGGCTGGGTAGGGAGGAGCGCGGGCGCCGCGCTGGGGCTAGGCTGGTACCGGGGTGAACTCGGCGACAGTCGTGCGTAGCTCCCGCTGTTCCTCCCGCTGCCGTTGCCTCTGCGGGCCTCCCACACCCCGAAGGGACCGGAGTTGTTATTTCCCGCCGTTTCCATAGCAACTGCAACCACGCGCAGGGAGCAGAGTCCGTAAACTAGGCCTGGCGCTCGCCTGGATCCCTTGGGCTTTGCCCACCGCCTCCGGCAGAGGCTTAAGAAGTAAGGGGTTTGGGGCAGATGAGGGGAGTCACTCTATTAATGGAAGCTAACTGGGTGGCAGGCGCTGTGCTAGTAGAGGGATACAGTGGTGTAGAGAAAAATCGACAATATGTTGAATGTCTATCATATGCCTAGCTTTATGCCGACAGAAGGATTTTTCACTGCCTCCAAAAGTCTAAATGGCTCTCTGTACCCAAGAGCATACATCCATGCTGTTTGTATAGATTGGATCAGTGTATGGGTAAGACAGGGGAGGAGCTCTGAGAACTTCAGTAAAGAGATGCTTTGTCCAGTCTCCTATGGGACATATATATTGTGGGACAAGGAAATTCTGTTTAAAAAGTTTAAATGCTCCAGCCCATCTCTGCCAGTGTTCCCTTTATTCCTCTTAAGACCTCTCTACTATGTGTCATGTGCAGATTTCATTACTGGCTGCTCTTCAGTCATCATCTGTGAATAAAAATCATGTTAATATGGATGAATGGATAAAGAAGATGTGAGATATACAAAGGAATAATACTCAGCCATAAAAAAGAATGCCATTTTGCCATTTGCAGCAACATGGATGGACTTGGAGGGCATTATGCTCAGTGAAATAAGTCAGACAGAGAAAGACAGATACGTATGATATCACTTATATGTGGAATCTAAAAAATACACAAACTAGTGAATAAAACAAAAAAGAAGCAGATTCACAGATATAGAGGATAAGCTAGTGGTTACCAGTAAGGAGAAGGATGAAGAGAGGGGCAATATAGGCATAGCAGGGGGAAAAGGGTTATTATGGGATTATATGAAATCATGTGTGTGAAAATTTTGAAAATTGTAAAGCACTATAGAGTTTAAAGAACCTTTCATTCACAAGATCTTGTAGTAGCTCACAGCAAAAAAATAAATGTGACAATTAATATATGTATGTTCATGTATAACAGAAAAATTGTGCTCTACACTGGAATTTGACAGAACATTGTAAAATGACTATAACTCAATTTAAAAAAAGTTTAAAAATAAATAAATAAATAAAGCAGTCTTATACATTAAAAATAAGAAAGAAAAATTGTGCTCTGCACTGGAATTTGACACAACATTGTAAAATGACTATAACTG